ATAAATATTAAACTGATCTTCAACCAATTTTACAATTGAGAATATTTATATCTTACATGTATCGATAAATATTAACTTATTTTACATATTTATATTATATATTAAATATCTACGAACCCTCTCTCCCTCTCTCACTTCTTCTCTTTCCGACATTGCCGGACGCGCACCAAAATGATGTTTTATCGGCAGTGGCTATGTATAGTACCAATTCCGAAAATGGATGTACTGACGGTAGTGTATACATGGGGCTTTCGATATGGTTCCATGAAAAAGGCCGGGATCGGAATGGCCTCTCTCAGCAGGCTTCTCTCTGACCAAATCTTGTAATTTATACTTTGCTTAACGAGTCCTACCTTATCTTCAGATGAATATAAATTCAGGTTCTTCAGGTAGAAGGCAGAGAGAAGTCTGAGAGTGGACGTTGATTTGGATTTGGTATGAAAAAATATCTAAATTTGAATATCTGACTATATTTAAATTTGATGACCACAAAACTGCAATAAAAAAGAGAGAGAAGGTATAAAAAGAATAGAATATCTAATAAAAGAAGAATGCAACAAGTATGAAAACTACTATGAATAATACGTATTTAAATTCGGTAGAGAATTCACTTTTTATTTAAAAGATTTTATCTCAAGAATTTGAAACTAAAAAATGCAGAAATTGTATCGCAGGAACAATAAAATATAATTATTTCAGAGAGACATTTCAGACATTTATACATTGTTGCCATGAGGTCTTGATCGCTTTGTTAAATATTTTAATTAAACAAGATTTGATTCTCATTGAGCTATTAGATACTGCTTTAAATCTATTTGCTGGTTAAACTTTTGTGTAAATTATTTCAATCTTTTGTTGCAATAAGCAATATTTCGATTAGTTTAAATCTGAAAGACTGCAGTTTCAAACTCTTTCAAAGACTGTTTAAAAGACTGACAAACAGATTGATGGAACGAGAAGAGATGTTCATGAGATAGTTATGCGTTTCTTGCGTCTAACATCCGGTCAGCCGCTCGTCCACTCCACGCTCGCGATCTCTCTTCCCTCTCTTTTATTTTTCATCCTTCCGTCCAATGCGCCGCTCTTTTGCTCGCTGGTTCTTACTCTTGTCCAAATCAGATTTTTCGTTTTCGTCGCAGCTGTTGGCGGTGGACAAGAAACCTGGACCAGCTGGTGCCGAGCGCAATACAATGAAACGTATCGAGAACGATCAGATTCACGATAATACTCGACGTTTTCAAAATTCAAATTTCTTGTTTAAATGCCTATTGAGCTTTGGGATATTTCGGATATTTCATGTCCACGTATTATCTCTTAACATCGAGTTGCAATTGATGTGATGCATAGATGTTGATGCGATAAATTGTGGACATGTTTGAGTCTGAACACTTAAAAATTTGAAACTTAATTTTCTATTTCTTTTAACTCAGGTGTATGTGTATATATAGAATGTACAAAAATTTGAAATAGCCCAATGTTTTTTTTAATTGTATTTGTTTACCTTAATTTAGAATTTTTAGCAACAATATTCCAAACAGATTTTTATAGCCATTTTCTTTAAGTCGATTGAATATATACATATATACAATATATAATTTTAGTTTCTATCTTCTTCTTTGAGGTTTAATACATTAAAAGTTTTATATTATCAGTTGTTAATAATAAAATCAATCGAAAACTATAGATAGCTAGGAAACAAATTTTTGAAAAAAATTGATCTTAAATTGGTCGAGGACTCTGGGATAACAACAATATTCGGTGCATGGGGTTTCGAAATATACATTGTTATGCATTTTAGTACCTGTATGTGCACATTAAGATGCCATGGATTTCTAGTTTAATTAATTATTCGTCCATAAACGACACTTCGGTTTTCTTTTCATTAGAATTCTCACCGAGAATATTGATTTCCGGTGGCGTCCCTTTTTTATCTCTAACATTGAAACAGTTACGGGCTGCTTAGAAACAATCGGGTATTCCATCTGCATTGTCCAGACTTCGTCCGAAGGAGATCTTACCGCGGGATCGCGTCGCGGTTCATTCATGAAGTCGTTTTTGCGCGAAATCGCACGTCTGATGAAAGAAGCGCTCTACCTGCGGTCAGACGGAAGGCAACGAACGAGCAGGAATGCCGTTAATTATATCAATTGTGTAATCGCTCGTATTAATTGTATGGCTCCTATACGAAAGGAGTTAAGCGCCAATTTTAGTTGTTCTAGTGACTGTTTCGTGAAATATATAATTCTCGCCGGGTACAAGTTTAGTCCGCGCATGGATTATCCGATGCAAGCAGACCCTGGCGCGATACAGGCCCGCGCGAGACAAATTGAAGTTTTTCGCGAACGAACCTGTCCGTAGACCACCGCGAACCCGTCTTCCTTCGCTTTAAGTGGCTCCTATATATATGTAGAAACGACGGGGACAACTCGACCTGTTTACTCACCTCGTGCTTTGTAGCAAATAGCAAATGCAATTTAATCTCTTACATGAAAAGAATTGCCAATTGATAAGGAAAAACTTGATATCCCTCTGTCAATATTAATTTTTTTAATTACTAACAATTTTTTCTTTCTGCGAGAAAATAATTCTTGCGTTAACAAAGGGACTAATAAAGAGCAGAGCATAACAGAGTTCGCAATTTTATTATAAAAAGTATCAAATTGCGATACTTTTAGTTTTGAATCACGGTGAGAAATTATATGAAATCTATATCTATACGTTAAAGTGTTAATAGAAATTATGTGACACACAATATCTGAGAAAATTATCTCAGCCTTAAATATAAAGCTCATTTTTCTGAAGTTATTATATATATTTTTCTCCCGAATGCTAAAATGATCAAATTTGACAGAGATCGCAACGTATACCAATGATTTCAGTAAATTTGCCTTCGTCAAGATTATTATAGCGTCTTCTCATCCAAAGATCGTCAGTGTTTCGCGATTTTAGCATTACACACGTAGTTCGCCTGTCTTTTCCGGATACGAGATGGCAACCAGTTTGCCGGACGCTCGGTGGTGAACATCGTCTTTTTTCATCGAAGCATATGCTGAGACTATATTAGGAAACTTGCAGTCACGTGGTAAGAGGAGATAGAGCGCGTAGGCGCGCGAGAGAGCAAAAAAGAAACGAAAATTCGATACGAATCTCGCGGATTCAAATTGTATTGAGATATTAAGTACATTTGCGGGTGATATAATTATCCTTTCCTAAATTTCGATTACAATCAATCCTGCCGTATGCGGCTATTACATCGTATCGAATCTAACGCACATCCTTCCCGTTTCTTCTCAGGCTTCTCCTCGTGCTTGCCAAAATTCCTCTTTTTTTCGGCATGCATCGCGCCTGTGCCCGTATTAGGAAACTTGCAGGCATTGTGTCTGACTCTCCCGACAACGAACGAACAACGATGACGACGAAGCAATGAGCGCTCTGTTCCCTCCTTCCCTTTCGCTTTTTGCAATTGGTAGCAACAATGCAATTGCAAAACTGACAAAATATGAAAATCTTGATTTCGTATGGATTTCTTTTCGCCGAATATATTTTTTTGTTTTAGAGTATAAGAACGGTATCACATATTTTCTTAATAAATCCAACTTTTATATATGTTAAACGCAAACAAAGAAAGATTTTTTAAACACGCGCAAAAAGGATCAGCGAATTTTCGATGTGACAATAATCGCCTTCGCGAAGAACGTGAGTAATTTTCTTTTTTCAAGCATACGTGAATGCACGCACGCGTGTAAATGCGTGTGCCTGTGCGTGCATCGCACAGATACATCGATCGATGATAAAAAGCTTTCAAGGTGAGCCGGGCCGACATATGAATGGCCGTATGCATGAATGGGTGGCTGTACGCACTCCGGAGGGACTAACCGGTGGATGCTGTGCTTGTTATGTGTTCGGCTAGTGCATATATACTGGGTGTCCCACAACTTAATTTTAACGACAGATTCTCTCATTGATTATGTTAGTACGAATTGCTACATATCTTGTAATAAAATTAGTACAAACAAAATAAAATGAAAAAAATTCTCGATAATCATTAGATCAACCAAAATCTGCGCAGAAATCTAATTATTAATTAGCTGTGCCTTTTAATAATTTACTTGTTTGATTAGTAATTAAATGTAAACTTTTTTTAACATTTTCGTTAACGAAAAATGAATTCTTAAATAAGGCATCTGCTTTATTTAAAGTTTGAATTATAATCGTCAATTGTGCGACACCTTGTACGTACGTATACGTGTGTATGTTGTATTATGTGGCCTATACGTGCGTCTCTTTTTCCGTCCCGTGCAGCGAGCTCACAAACGTGATCCGCGATCGCAACGTCCCGCCGCTGGTATCGCATCAATGAAGCCGAACGGGAAGAAGTACCTCAAAGGTTTTAATTAAGATTCCTCATAAAGCGGCTTTTTTTTTTAATAAAACGCGAATTTGGTAAAAAATCACAAATGCAATATTCACGAGCATGGTGCTTGTTAATGAACGACGTGTCTCGGCACAGCCGAAGTCGTTCAATAAAATTCATCTTGCGCATGTTGAATTTCATTTCGACGGCGCGTCCCTTTATGACTGCGCGGCTTATGATCTCCTGCAATATACAGCTTTCACAAAAGGTTACTTTGATGGGATGAGAAAAAAAAATCAAATCGATCGCATCAACAGAAAGTATTGTAACCGTGAAATTTTTTGGAGTTATGTACAATTTTATGTACAGTTTTCTTCCTAACAATAGATTTGTGTGAGAATCCGGAATTTAATTCGAATTAATATATAAGCATAAAATTTTATTATCTCATTAAGTTGAAAATTATTTCGAAGTTTTTATTATCTCATTAAAGTGTTTATGTACATGTATACTCGTATAGATTTTTCTATTTTGTACATATGTAAATATATTTAAAATACATATGTATATAATATATAACATATAATATATTATATATATATAAAAAACGCAGTTATACTTTTTATTGATGCTATCAAAATCAATGTGAAAGACTATCTCGCTGAATCTCTGTACCATGCGCAAACATCACAAACAATTTATTTTTTTATTATTACAGACTATACAAAGATTTTTCGTTACAATGAGCATAAGTATAAAATAATTTTATTTGTCGCCGCATGAAGAAAGATAACAGCACGAATATAGGACGGTTTTCAACTTGCAGTTGTTCCGCTTAATGGAGCATAGGTATATAGATATGACGAGATATTCAGTTCGAGAAAAGAATCGCATCTTTTAGCACTTGGGGATCGGGAATTGAATTAAATAGCAATAGCGTTAATTGAAATAAGATGAAAAATTCCATAATCTGTAAAAATAAATGTCTTACTTGATTCCATTATTGCACTTTAATATACAAACAGGTCACGTTTTTATAACATTGGCACAAATGCGTCAAGATATTTGCCCCAACGTGCAACGTCGAAGAAACGAATTGATTGTACGTAATTGTTGCATATAATGTCGCGTTTCTTTTCCATACCTTATCCAAATTATTGCGCACAGTAGATCCATATAAATATCCATCAGACGTAAAACAAAAAAAACATATTTACAATTTAAAAAGAGTATAAATAAGACTAGATTTCGTTAGACGATATTTCGCTTAGAAAGACGGTATCGTTACAAGTTTCACTCTGATACCATCCCAAATGCATCGTAGTCCGATAGCTAAAAACCACTGCACAATTCTATTTCCAGTATGGCGAGAGCAAAATCCCTCTTTGGTTAACCCGTTCTCCATTGTGATTTCATGTACATTCCAGTCTCTCATCTTTGGCACTAAGCTATGATCGAGTTTATTATCTTATTCTTGTGAGGCACGTCATGACACGATACTGTTGTGATTAAAATGTATTTTTATCATAATAATAAATATTCTGGGTAATGATTTTACACACATATACGCATACGCATGTGCACGCACACACATCCTAAATCTCCCGTGATAATTCTTAATGCCAGACGTCTGAAGTCATTTGGAGATGATTCTAATATCAAAAATGTCGATGCTGTAATAATTTTTTAATGAGAAGCGTTTGAAAGAACTTATTTATGTACGATACATTTCATATGATAGCTTTGACTCCAGCTTTAAATACAGAATTAAAAATGAAAATTATTGAGAAAATGAATAGTTAAAATTAATAAAATACTAAAATACTTAAAATAAATGGAAAAATTAAATAGAAATCAACTTCCTCATACTATCCATTACTATCTATATATGTATAGCTCCAAGCATGATTTGCTGTTTTGCTGTTTTAAAATATGGATTTAGGGGAAAGATCTTTAATTTGCACATAAAAAATTTTTTGTTGATTTTATCAATGCAGGCGAATATAGATTTCCGTAAAACAGGAAATTAACAGCCGAAAAAAGTTGTTAACAACAAATTGAATCGTATCGTGTCATGACTTTCGTTCGTCGCGAATGCTGGGTCTCACGTGAGAGGTAAAGTCCGATGATCCTCCTCCACGAAGCTGTTCGGCACGTCTAACAAATTGCTGCGAGGAAGCGGCGAAGGAACGAGAGCGGCGTCACCATCGACTTCAACATCAGCCACGTCGCTATCTATCGCAACGGGAGCACCACTGCCACAGCCGCTCAATTCGCGTACGTTACCGGGCAAATAGTCTTTCCAGCTTCTGAACAGATATCTGGTGAATTTTCTGAGCTGCCGGAACTTGCAATAGGTGGCACCCTCCGCAGATTCTAACTGTTGCGTCTGAATGAGGAAACCCTTTTCCTTGAAAGTCTGCTCCAACTTTTCGCGCTGCAGTGATTTTCTGGTTTTTCTCTTTCGCCGGCCGTCATCCTGGCCGGTCGGACTTCTCTGACACGCCATCGGCGGTTGAATCCTTTCACCGGCGGCATTCAGAAAGGCTCCGGCGGCGGAAGTGCTACCAGATTGACACGCCGGTTGCTGGAGAGCTTCTCTAGGAAAGAACTCGTAACCGCGCATGCTCTTATCACCGGTACCGCTGTAATAGCGAAAATTACCACCTGAGTCCACAGAGAGGCTCTTCTTCTCTTGTAAACTGGGCTTGGCGCCACCGGTAAATTTGAACTTACATATGCTTACTTCTGTCGCCGGATTATTATTATTTTCGGTTGGCATCGGCGGTATAAATATGGCGGAGCGTTTCCGTTTGGTTGGTTGACTTTGCTGCTGGCCTAGGGGCGCATTCCTCTTCGGTCTTGGCGAAGTGGACGTAGCAGTCGACACTGGTATCGCTTGAGCTGTAGATATCGGCGACACTTGGGCCGCATTTTTTGTCTCCATCATTGAGTATATCGATTTGGGCACGATCTTTTGCTCTCTCGGTGGTTGATCCGTTGTCGGCGGTGGGCACTTGTCACCTTGGGCGACTTTTTGATAATATAGCAACTGGGATTGCAACGCCATTGGGTGAATAAACACGCCAGCATTCGGCCAGTACACGAAGCCAGAGTTGTTGTGACCGACCATAGGATCGATCACATTATTATTATGATTGACGAAACTGTTATTTGACCGATGACCAACTGCTTCCGAGTAATTTACTGGTTCCGACAAAAAGTTCGTTCCCAGACACTCTACTTCTTCACCGTCGCTAGACGTTTCGCTCTTAACCTGACCAGACTCGTACACGTTCCCGTGTTTCCGCAATAGTCGAATTTTCAGCTGATTGAGATCCCTGATGCAGAGATTTAATGGCTCGTCCTGCTCCCGCGAATTCTCAGATAAGGCAAAGCTCCGCCGGGTCTCCTGAGTCAGCCGTTTTTCCAATAAACTGCTGATTCTGTTCTGAACATCAGTCCTTTGGAAAGGTACTTGAGGTGACACACCTTCCCGATGATCCTGCTTATCCCGAGGCGACAGTCTCCTCTCCTCGTGACCAGGCGTGCCCGGTAATATCGTGCCATAATTCTTGTAGATCAAATGACATATGTCGGCCTTCTTCGGTTTCCGGCCACGTCTAGGTTTACTGTTGTCCAGAGTGATTTCACCCATGTATGGCAGATCGGAATATTTCATGGGGGGCCTGCTAGATGTCTGCGACTGTGTCTGCTGGATATGATGATTAGGATAAGTCTGCGAAGATACAGACGTGATGACGGATCTTCTAGTACCGGTGACTTGATTATGGCCAAGGGTCGTTGGGCATTGAGGCGGCGCGATCTGTGGACAGAGCTCCTGTTGCATCGCCGCGATTCGTTGCAGCCAGCCATGAACGTCAGCGACGGGACTTGGGGTAGACGTCGAGTTTGTCGGTGCTGGACTGGATGCTGCTGGCTCGATGATGCGCGGCGGCGACGAATTCAGATTTTCCTGGGCCAGGGATGCTTCGTAGTGATCCAAATATTCCGGTGGTAATGCTTGATGATGGAATTTGAGCTTCCATCGTGATTTCCTGCGGCCACGACTGGAATATACAAGATTTCATAGTTCGACAATACTTAGACTGGTAGACCACACGTTTTTTTCCATGATAGAGCATTTCTATGACAAAAGTTATACTGACTGAGCATTAAGAAAATTACAAGGAATAATTATTCTTTTCTTCTCTCTTTATATTTCTTTGTTTGTTGAATTATTCGATTGCTTATTGAAATAAAAAAATTCTGATTTTAATCCAAAATTATTTAAAGAATTGAAATAAGTAAGAAATTAAAATAAAATAAGAGAAAATTGTTTTTCCAACAAAAGAAAGTTACCTAGTTGATTATCCGTTAAAGTAAGGGGAGGAAATAAAGAATGTACTCTTATTGGCGGTTTCTTTGTTCGTAGACCGATGTTACATTAACATATTATCTAGGAAGAAAAGTATTTGAACTAGCGTGCAGTTGTAGCTCTTATGTCGGTGATATCGCTCTTTCATTAACGCCAGTAACTGCATTCCGAGCCACACCTTAATAGCGTTTTGTGCCGCGCGGTATGGCGCCTTCGCTCGTATGCAGAGAACGTGTGTCGCGCTTCTTCTTCTCTAGTCGCGACCGGGCCTTTAATGAAATTCAATAATAACGGTAATCGACTCTCTTGCGACGCGCGTTTCGCTGACGTATATATCTGCAATTTTTTTCTTCACGTACTCGTGCGCGCGCACGCATCGCTTTAGAAGACTCGCTCGGCACGAACCAGTTTCCTGGCGCCTATCTTTCTTGTCGACGCGACGACCGCACTTAAAGCACTTTCCTGGACATCGGCCGGTTTTACGTTAAAGACATCGTTAGAGACATGACAAAAAAAGATAAGAGAGATAACCCGAGTCGCGTTGCTGCCGCGGATCGCGCTACCTGACAATGTAAGCCGTCGCGAGACACACTCATCACACTCTTCAAACGCTTCAAATGATACGAGATTTATCCAATCTAAGAAAACACAAGAAGCATTTTATTTGACAAAAATGTTGTATCTATTTTTCTCCTCTCCTTGCAAAACTATTTAATTTAAATAGATTAATGTGAAATTCACCTAAGAAAATATATATATGTTTGTATATAAAAAAAGCTTCAAATTTTTTATCGCTGTATTCTATTTAATTACTGATAGAACATTGCGCATAAAATACATCAAAGAAAGACAAATATATTACCTGGTTCGTCCTCGGTTGCTAGAATCCGGAGCAGTTAGTACTGGATTTTCCTCCAATCCTTGAATTTGATTACCAACCTGTTGTCCATGCTTGCTGTCCACCGAACCTGCCACGTTGCCTACGTCCACTTGCGGGCTATCAAAAGCGACAAAAGAGACTTTCGTTCACCGGTGCTTGCGTCAGTTCTGATATATATCTTTTCTCTATCAATTTCCAACTACGGAAAAAGATATGGTACATCCAAAATTATATTATTTAACGATTAATAGACGGAAAAAATTCCTTGTGTGATATAACTCGATTTATTGACTTTGACAATTAATGATATACATAGATGATATAGATGCACTAAGAAAAAAAAAGATTTTGCTAGTGTGATTATTATAGATTCAATGTAAAAATTTTGTCATCATAATTAATTGTTTTACATTACCTTGTTTTTGTAAAAATTCTTTTGTCAAACAAATTTGTTCACAAAAATATGGATTTCTTATTAAAGTAAATTTAATTTGCTGCTAAAATTAAAAGAAAATCTATTCATAAGAAATATATCTTTTCGCTGCAGTAGAACAATTTGTAGATTGTAGAGCACAATTATTTTTATAATTTATTTATTAATGCTAATTTTAAAATTAATATTCTTAACAAATCCGTTTGCTGTTTTTTATAGTAATTAATATAAGAAATATGAATTAATGACATTTGTTACATCAACGTAAAATATGCAGTGTCAGCAAAACTTTTTTCTTCGTGCGTATCTCACAAGGTTTAAATTAAGAGACATTCATAACTCACCTCAATGTGCCAACATCGCGACTTCGCTCTTCTTCCTCCTGAGGCTCTTGCTTGACGGCCATGTGGATTAGAGGTGATAGTGGGCAACGTAAATGTGCCGAATGATGCAAATGATGCTGCAAACCAGCGCCGTCGGTGAGACCACTGTCTATGCCAATAGACTGTGTACGCGGCACGACTTCCTCGGTCTGCATAGTGCCCCCTAGAAATTTAAACATCACGGATTGCTATTATAAAGTTGATTCCTCCTCGTATCATCACATCCTTTCAATACATTATATTATACTTTTTAGATAACAAGATTTCAAACGCAGAAACGTAAATCTTATTGTGTTATTATACATCTGACCAAATATTGAACAATTTGACTGGTCAATTTTAAATATTTTTCATTCAAAAATTATTACAGTTTTTCATCTCAAAATGACCGTAGGAATATGCCATTAACGATTATCATCGAAGGTCTGGAATCCTGTATAATCTTTCTAGCTCAAAGCTAAACAGTAATTCAATTTTCACTGAAGGTTTCGATATTGTGCATAAATTTGTGTGTTAAGGCATTAACAATTCTGTGTATATATGACTGTTTTCAATTAATAGCCGAAAAAGAACACTTCTGGACACGCCTAAAGTGTAGGTAATTCGAAAGCTGTTTACTCAATTTGACTCAAGTTTTAAAGACCGCTCCATGTTAAGCATTCATCTAATTAGTCATTAGTTATTGGATAACCGTAACATTCGGCCACTCTCAATTAATTAATTAAAAAAAAACGAGGTCGGAAGTAGCCACCATACAAACAGCTTCCACTTTCTTATTTCGGTGTGCGCGAGAGCAGCGCGAAAGGTCGCGCGTGGGCCGTTGTGAGCCGTCGAAGCCGGAGATCGTTGCCGGTGTGCGAATTGCGGAATATTCATAACCACCGTATTAACGAGCTGATTAATGCCGCGCGCAGCGCGGTGAGTTGCGTTGCGTGGATTTGACGGGCGTGAGAAATGGCAGAAATTAAACGAATGTCCGACACGCAAATGGATAAACGATCAAGCGCGCACCTATTGCCATCGTTGCACCATCGAGCGAACCGCGTAGGCGACCGCGGTCCGTTCAAGGCTTCGAAATCGCACAATGGTGAACTGCGAGCATCGTCAACGTTACGCGTTAGAAGTTAAAGATCCGCTTGGAAACATCTCGTGTAAGACAGTTCACAATATTCACGACAGTCACTTGTTAGAGGCAAGTAATTCATTGTCGAATTCTGGAGCCGGCTTTTAAATTTTTATAAGACATTATCAGTTTAATTTTCATGTACGTAAGCCACAATATAATAAATATATCGAGTTTTTATTTATTAATCTGATATTTATAATAACAACATTTATGAAATACAATGACATCTTACAATTAATAAAATGTTTTAACTTTAATGAAATACATAAGTTTAATAAAATATATTAATAACAAATATCTAAGATGTTTTTCTAAGTTTTACATTAAGTCAGTTCATACTTTTACTAATATAGAAAGAGAGAAAAAGAGAGAGAGAGAGAGAGAGAGAAATTTAATGAAGGATCGACGAGAGAAGCAAAAGTGTCAGCGACCGGCGCGGCACGGTGATGTCGGAATACGACGCGCACGAAAGAGGCTAAAACGGAGAAAGAAGCAGACGCGCAAAAGACGAAGAAGCGTATTATACATACTGTGACTTTGCGCAGCACTGTCGGATAAAAATATTCCTGCGCGAAAATAGAACCGGCAACAGTCCGCCGGCACAGCCCACCGAAAACCCGCAATTCCTGAGCCATATTTGGCCTAGTCGATCGGGTTTCAACGTCTCGCGAGAATCCGCCTATCGAATGTGTCGACTGTCATTTGGGTATACTTCGGGATAAGATCTCGATACAAAGCTAAGCCATTAAGATCTCGAAAACAATCGGAAACACAATTGAGACGTATTTAAGCTCTCGTAAGCGTATAACGTGAGATGTACCAATTCAACTGCGTAGATTTTAAAGCGACATTTTAGAACGAAGTTCCAGCAAAAATATAGATATAGATATGACAAATACAAAATTGGAAATAAAAGATCTCTTCTTTTATCAATATAAGTTTTAAAATGTGAAAGAATCAACACTTCAAGTTTTCTACAAACTTAAAAAATTTAGGATTCTGAAATTATATAATTAAAATTTCAAGATTCAATAAAGTTCTACGTTTCTTTAGACTTTAATTTGTAAAATTTCAAATATCTAAAGTTTTTAAGTATATGAACTTTTAATAATTTTAAAATGTACAAAATTGTATATAAACGTGCGCCAAAAAGCGAGATCAGTGAAAGATATTAATATCGATATGTGCGGGAGGTGGCTCGTTTTCATTGAAGACCAGTTATAGAATGATGCAGGCGGGCGCGTAACTACAATTTATTTTTTGGCTATTTTTAGCGTTTGGCGTAGCGCCACTATTTTCGGTTCTCTCAAATTTCTCACTCCATATTTAGGATTATGGCTGATGGTATCGCGCCGCACTAGGCATTTATGATTGCTAAAGCGTACATATTATACCGTTGCATGTCTAATTTTATTCAAAATGTTAATCAGATTAAAAGATCATAATAAATGACGACCTCGCTCTAAAAAATTATAGACGCAACTAATAACTGTCTATAAAAGATATTTCAAGAATACATCGTACTTCATCCAATTTTCTCTTTTGTAACTCGATATTCGTGATAGGTGCATGAGGAAATAAACATAAACACAATGATTATTTTCTTTTTTTTCTCAATTCTTCAATAATATTACGATGGACGTCAAACTTGATTTATTCACAGGCAACAAGTGGACGAATCGGAGCAGACGTTTGTTCCGCGCGAAAACATGTGGTCTTCCGCACTATTGGCAGAAGCGCAACTAGGTTAAAAACGGAAAGTCAGCCGTGGTGCTCGCGAACATGTCAAGGTGATGCAACGGCCGGAAAAAAAGAAATCTTTTGGAAAAGATTCCTTTTCACATGCGATAATCGATCGTCAAAATGTCCTTAAAGTCACAAAGATCGATTTGCTCACATATTGTGACCCACTAGTAGGACAGACCGTGATCCATTGGCCTGATTACGACGCCGCTATGGATCCGTAATTACGCGTAACACCCGCGCAAACCGCGCAGCGCAGCGACGACATCCCACATGGAGAACAGTAACTTATTATGTGGCTGTTCGATCAGAATAATCCTTCATTTTCCATCGGTTGTCTTTTCGCAAGTATTCAGATAATGCAATTGAAAATTTTCGATCTACTTTACGAATCAAAGACATAGAATGTCGATGATTTGAGATCATCGCTTTATTCTAACAGCGTAGCAGCGATAAACTCTTCAAAATAGACTTGTAGACTTGGTAGAAACCAAAAAAAGACTCACGATCACTCGAAATTACGCTGCCGATTACCTGTGACGGGAAAGTTGCTTTCTGGCAACATGAACGTATCGTTCTCGTCGAATCCTCTTCTTGATGAAAAACCACGACCGGCAACTATAATAGCTTCGCGCGCGCCGCAGACGTTTCTACGTTACTACGATACGTTACTTAATTTTCACGCACGATTGATTTTCCGCCAAACTAAATGACGCGATGGTCGTTGTCGGTTGAACACGATCAATCGCACAAATCACAAGCCGCGATTAATCACCTTCGCCCGAGCCTTTCAATGCATTGCGATCGCCCACGCGATCGGCTCTGCCTCGTACGATCTCTTGGCAGGCACAGAGTGAGATATCGAGAGATATTTTGAAGGAAAGAATAAGATATAAAAGAAGGAAGAAAACGTGATCACACGTGGATAAACTTCCACCTAGATAAAAAAGATAAAAGAGGAACTGTATTGATCACGAGAAAAATAGGAAAGTGGCAAGTAAATAAGGAGAAAGAAAAGGAGCAAAGAAAAGAAAATGAGATCGACAGAACGAAGCGGAGTGTTTTGAAGCACTTTTGGCACTGTTACGAGCGAGAGTGAAGTGGACAAGCGACAACTCTACCGAGAACAACGTCTACACCTCCGTCAAAGGAGGGCGAGGGGAGAAACGTTAGCGACGACGACGACGAAGACGACAACCGCGACAACGACCAACCCTCCGCAGGCCAAGAAAAGCGAGCGGAGGCGCGGGCGTATATTCTCGATTTGGGCGGATGGAAATCTGAGATTGCTCCATATTGGGCTGTGCGCCACGGAGGTGCTCTGTAATAGCAGAACTCGAGTTCTTCCCTCTCTTTCTCGCCCCTCAGCTTCTCTCTTCTTCTTCCTTCCCTTCTTCTGTAACTTCTTCTTCTTCTTCTTCTCCCTCTTTCGTATTCCCTCCCGTTCTCACTTTGACGTATAAATGTGTGTATGCATGCCCGAGCGACCGTCTTTATCTTTCTCGCTCCATTTTCTCTTTCTCGTTCCTCCTCTTTCTTCCCTCTCTCTGTATGATGAGACCAACGAGGGTATATTTAACCCCGCGAACTACCAACGAGGAATCGAGCCGCGCACAAGTCACTTCTCGTACTTGGTCCTTCTCTTTTTATTCTTCGTTCCTCGTTCCGAATTCGCGAAACGAATAATCGAAGAAACTTCTTTTGATAGTTAGGTACTAAACTCTCTTATCATCTTAATTAACAAATTTAAAATGTTATGGCTCTTCGGAGAATTAACAAGAATTATTTTATTCAAAAAATTAAATGGAAAAGAAAAGCTTTACTTTGGGCTTACTTTTAAGACATTTCGACTAACGGAGTGATGTCCCCTCTCTTCACACTAGCGGATCCTAAATTAAATTTCGCTTCATGATGATGCATAGGTGCCATAAATGGTATCGAGTACAATTAAGTATTATTAGACAAATGACATTCTAATCTAATCAATTTCACGATCTTTCTCCTAGGTGTATTTTATATTTGTGTATGGGAAAAACGCTTTTGCTAAACGCTAAAGTATTGAAAAATTTAGCTATAGATACAGATCTGAAAATAATTTTGTTGCCACATCTCAAAATAATTATAGTAGGATGCTCAAGTATGATGACAATGCTGCAAAAAAATGTTGACATTTTAGAAATCAGTTGGAGTGTCCTACATAATTATCTTGATAATCCAACAAAATTATTTTTGCTTGTACTCATGAATAGTATGACGTGATATAATCCTAGCGGTATGGTTATTCTACAATATTCTTCGGAGTGCCATTGTTTTCCGTTTTACTGATAGAGTTTGAAATAAATGGCTTTATTAATCGAATACAAGCCTAAAAGAAATCGTCTCCGAGACATCTTGTGATATTAACCAGTTACATCGAATCGCTTATCACACGTGCATTCCGAATAACAGCTTGCAGAACCGATACATCGACATTCACGCGGCCAACGGCACCAGACCGATAAGTGAGCTAACGAAGAGACATCGTAATCTGGGATAACGCGTTATCTCTCGGTTAATGAGCCTTGAAGGCTCCTCTCTGTTGCCGGAGGAGGCTTCAGGATTCCCACAGTGGCATGCAGGATGACGTCCGGTGCCCGGGGCCTCCCCCGTGCACCCCGTCCATCTCGTAATGTACGTAATTTATTACGCGTCTGCCGGTTTGCGTTGCACAAAATGGCAAACGCATTTCGACCGCCGCCGCCGCGCCGGCCGGATCATTGCCATATACAACCCGATGCGATTTAACGCGACTCGAAGGATGTGTATTGGAACCTGGGATTCAAGCGCGCACTTGAAAAGGCGCGGACTACATTAATGAGATTGCGGAGCGAAAAGTTGATATTATATTATAACGAGAGGTTATTTGGCACTTTCCCGGAACTGATTACACGTCTCTCTTTTTAATGCGTACGCTTTCAAAGATTTAATTTATAATTATTCTGCAAGATAATCGGCCGTGGGTTAAATCAATTTTAGACGAAAAACATGGAACCTTTGACTTTTTTCGTATTAAAATTAAACATTAAATTAAACATTTTACGATTGATCTGGGGAATTAGCGTTACTGAAAATGTCATTATTGCCGTGTAGTAAAAACAATGTATTGTTGGCGAGCGCGCGGTCCGATCGTCGGGATTTAAATAATGCTATTCCACGAACGCGCCGGGTAAAATACGCGAGCTGATGGAACGCGGAGTTGAAAGTAGTTGTTGACATATCGCTGCCAGGTATTGGGACACATCGGGCAAGTAGGCGGGGTGGTTTAACCTATACGGAATATAATATACGCCTCCACAGAATCGACGCCGGAGATGACAGTCGTATAAAATATCAACGTGTCGTCCACGCACTCACGCAGAGAGAATCCCGATACAATGGGCCGTACAGCAGCTCCGATTAGCCAACTTTGTTCGTTATTTAAAACCTAACATTTGTACATTGAGTTTTGTCGATCTACGTATAATCATCAACAGTGCAAATGCCAGCTGTACGTCTTGCGTAACGCGACCTAGATATGTATGTCTGGGAACAGCCACCTGATTCTCAAACGAGGCGCGAGCGGAAGTACGCTTCGACGATGCTGACGAAACGTGCTGCCGCGCGTGGGTGACAATTTTGGTGCTGAGCGTTAGTTACCTTAGACGTCGAGAGCGAGCTCCATGCAAGACCGTATAGCGAATCCGAAAGATATTTGCCAGATAGAATAAGCACGAAATACTAAAGGTCGCGTTTGTGTATCTCGCGAATACATAATAGAACGATTAGTCGTTGACGCCTGATCGTACGTAGATGTAAGCCCTACTCGTGGAATATCACCATGATGGTAAAATCGACAATAAAACCAAAAGCGAATTGATTATCAGCACTTAACAAGGTTGAGAAAGAAACAAAATCACAATTTGACCGAACGCTTCGTACTTGAATGTCCAACGATAATGACTTTTTCCCGGTTTATCCGAAACTTGATCCACTTCGAAATTCATCTTCCAGCAACCGCATCGTTAACATCGTTGCTTTTATAGGGTCGTTAATCACTGTCGTTGCGCCCGTAGTAGGCGATAAATAATTACAAAATACGCAGCTCGCGATCTCGCTGCATAATGTGAGAGCTCCGACACCTGTGAGAGCCTTCGACGGAGCATACGTTGTTCGCTTTCAAAATATGAACGCAAAGTAATGTGATTCAGCTAAAACTGAAGACTAGTGCAGTCCTTGTGGAGGCATCTGAAGAAGAGAAAACGAGAAAGATTTCTCGAGGCGATGATGGGCCACCTTACAGCTAGTCCAATTGGATCGCCCACGTGGTAGAAATCTGAAAGGAGGTATATAAGGCTGTCTGCTGATACCGTTAAATTGCCTAATGTTCTTTTACATACGAATTATTTGATGTACGTCGCCTTTAATTTGGCAATAGAGCAACTCACAATTAAGTAGCTCCGTGGGCGTTTTTCATCTAGAGAGAGGAGAGGCACGATGCGTTTAAATTCATTCCTAAATGTCTTTTGCTTTCCACCGATTAAGAATTGACAAACGCAAAGTTCAACAGTTTTAGTGACTCGTGTTCTCGTATCTTGTGTCAACCTAATGTCTCTGTAACTACAGATTTGTAAACATGGAACCAATCTTTTTCCTAAAAGATAAAATATCAAGATACTCATAGTTTTTAATATAATATAATATAAAAATAATTTAATTAACTAATATATTAAATATTATATATAAGAAATAAAGATGTTTTGAGAAAAACTAATATTAAAAACAGAAAATAGAGAAAGATTATATTTTTCACTTACAATTATTTTTAAGCAAGTTACAATAAAATTTTAATTTTAATTATAATTAGTTATATAGATGTTCGCAATCTTCGATATTAAATCCAAAGAGTGCAATAAATAACTTTTTCGATATTTTTACTAACAAAAAGTTATTTTCCAACTGATCGTAGAGATTACAAATTAAAAGATATCTAACGAAACACCCTGCATAAATTAAAATTCTCCATGACACCTGGCAGTCGTTTCGCAACACCACCTGCATGCAACGAGCGCACGATTACAAGTGAGTAGAAGAAGTTACCCGTGCGAGTCAAAGATGCTGCGCAATCGCGTGCATGTATAATGAGAACGTGGCGCCTTTTGCGCGCGGTTACATATTTTTCTAGCTCGCGAATCCGAGAGTGAAAAAGAAGATCGTTAATTGAAAGCGAATCGCTCGGTCGGACGCCAATAATAATCTCGCACCGAAGAAATGCTCGCAAGAAGCGGTTCAACAAACACGGCGCGTACATATTACGTTTCTCTCTCTCGTCAATCGTCTCTCTGGAACTTTGATTGGTCGAGGACCGACTAGTCATAAAACTTTTCTCAGCTAATGCGTCCGAATACGAAACAGCGCGCTTTACCGTAATGGAGAACACGCTCGCCCGTTATTCCCCACCTATCCTGCTATCGCCATCGCCATCACCATCACCATCGCCATCGCCATCGCTACAACAACCGGCAATCGTGATTGGCAGTACGTTACCGCTAAGACGTGAAATTTTTTTCGTCTTATTACTCAGTCTACTTCGCTAAATAATTCAATTTATAGCTGAAGTAGGTTTGATAAAAAATCCCAGGTTTAACTAATATAAAGTTGAAATGAACGATTAATGGTATAAACATCCTGTAAATTGATAGATTAAACGTATAAATATTCTGAAAATCTAATCGCTGTTGGTTATTAATTTAACAATTTAATCATATGATTTAATTGCTCGTGTCAGTAATCACATTCGCGGGTAATGTACGACAATCGCGATTGGCAGTTTTGCTGATGTGAAAATTCTCCCACTCGGCAATGAAGCCCTCCTCTCTTTCGTTTTCTCGCGTGTGCGGTGCGTGGCGATCCCCTCTTTCCTCGTGCTGACCTGCACCGATCGAGATCGAGCAGAAAACCCTCCTCCGATTGCCATATTTGCTAATTCGAGAAAATATGGCTGTCTGGATCGTTAGCCGATTGGATCATGTCCGACCGCGCCATCATCTGATGCAACGATAGCGAGATCGATCCTGATCAATCGCGCTCGCAGATATCAGATTTAATTAATTCTTTTGATGGGCAAAAGCGTCTTGGAACCCACGTTCGATTAAAATATTATTCCTTGTCAATCATCGCGATCAGACGATTACTAATGACTGT